GGGGCCCAGACTGAGCGGGGCCAGGGCCAGGTCTATGTCCTGCAGGTCGGAGGAACCGTTGAGGTGGGAGAGCAGGTTCTTCTGCTCCAGGACAGCTGCCTTCTTGGGGAAGTCGTTGACATCCAGGTTGAGGTCGTAGACACTGAAGCTGGCCCGGATGGAGTCCTTGATGGTGTTCTTGATCTCCTGCAGCCGGCTGCTGAGGAAGCTGTTCACCCGCTCCAGCTCCAGCTCCGGCCACTCCAGCAGCTTCTCCTCGGCCGGCTCCCTGGCCTGGCTGGCCGCAGGGGCACGCTCTGCCCGCCTCTGGGCCTCCGCCTCCAGCTGGGCTTTCTCCTTCTCCTGCAACACAGGTGCCGTGAGGATCAATCGGGTGGCCTGGGCCACAGAGCCACAGGCGCAGGCCACAGGGCTAGCCACGCACCAGCTTTATCAGGCAGCAAACCCAAGGGCTGGCGCTCAGCAGGGCCAGCCCACGTCTTCTACAGCCCCCAAACTGTCACGTGTCCTCTGTGGGCTCTGCAACAGCTACCACACTGCACACCGGACACCGCTCTGGGCACGAGGCACCAGCACGAGCCATCACGGCACTGCCTCTCCCTGCCACAGATGCACGGTGTTTGTCAGAGACGCAGCATGGAGCAGGTAGGCTAGCGCAGCCCAAAGCGCCCAGGAGGGCTGGGCCACCCTCTGCAGGAACAGAGGCAGGGGAAGCCCTGCACGGAGCCGGGCACCGCTGTCACCTCAGGGGAGAGGGCAGCAAAGGACACAGAGTTCCAGAAACCAAATGGATGTGAGGGAGAGGAGGCAAAGCCCTGCAAGGGGCAGTCTTGCCCTGACCTCTCTCCTGCAGCCAGCCCCAGGCAGCGCTTCCCTCTGCCCAGCCTCACCTTCTTCTTCTGCTTGTGCCGTGCCCGCTTGGCCGCCTTGGCACTGTTCAAGGGCTTGGGCTCTGTGCTGTTGATGTAGTCCAGTAGCTCATCCACGTTGCGGTGGTCCACAGCAGGCTCTCCCGAGCTGCTGTTGTGCCCTAGTTTCTGTGGCAGCTCCTCTTTCCTCTTGGTGAGGCGCGAACGCAGCTTCTCCCGGATCTCGGCGTAGTTGCGGCTCGTGGGA